TTTTTTTTTTTTTTTTTTTTTTGATTTTTTATCGCTTCAAATTATATTTTGATTTGAAAAGGATTTTGTATGGGTTTATAGTTACGAACAATCTAACTATTGACTCTCCAACCTGAGATAGATACAAGACGGGAGTGATTATGTATCGCGTTGTGTTTGGCAGGCGAGCCCTCAAAGGTAATTTTGTCGAACATGCTAAAGCGAGCTAAAGTTTAGAGCATGTATTATATTAGTGCCTTATGGGAACGTTTGGTCGTTTAGAGCATCCTTCGCTACCAGATTGGAGAAGTAGAAGCAAAAACAGAGGGATGCTCCACGGGAGGGTCGAACTCTCGACCTTCAGATAAATCCTACTTGGGCAAGCCCTAGTATGAGACTGACGCTCTGCCAACTGAGCTAGTGAAGCATCTCTTGACCACGGATGGCATGATTTGAGTAAAGTCAGACTAGAATAGGTTGACAATTGGGCGGTAAAGAAAGAGAACTACTGGAAATACACTTAAATAGAAGTTGGTCTGACTGGCACTAGTCGATAAGTGGGAGATAGACCAAGTGCTACGAAAATAAAATGATGACAAAGGCAGTTCACGTATCAACAAAACACAAATCTAGGTGATAGAGACTACAAGCGTATTCGAGGTATGGTAATATATTAGATGAAAAGACAGCCAAAACATAAACTAGAGCGGATGGTTAGTTATTGCAATTAGGTATCATCACCGGTACGAGACAAACGTTCAAGTCAACAAATTAGCTTCAGTTTTATCCCTGTTTCTGCTCAAGTCCCCTTTTGGGGTACGTTCACACGGCACTTCCTATATTATTAAAATTTTAGGTAATATTCATCATTGTATGTTGTCTTGATGGGGCCTGTCTCGTGAATTGTGATGAAGAAGTGAATCAGGCACTTACTGTTTGGAACTGTAGTCTTGGATCAGAACATATTCCGTGAATAGCTTGGCTGTGTGCTTTTGTTGCTAAAGAAAAGAAGTGGTAGAGAGGATATGGCAATTCTTTTATATGCTGCCGACGGCGCTGAAAATTTTTGAAAAAATAAGTTGACGTTCGTGATCCAAAGCGATGAGCCCTATGCTTTAGAGAGACTTCCACAAAGCAGGGTAACTGGGTAAAAGTAAAATGCAGGATTCGATTATCAAGCACATCATGTAGATAGCAGATGGGTTACATCCTAGTGATAGTATCAAGATGAAGCAGCGGCACTTAAAAGATTATTCTCAAATGAATGGCTGCCACTGAAAGGATTCATCCCTCCAACCACTTTCACCACACTTAAGGATCCATGTTGAACTAATAGCCACCGCATTCACCTCACATTCCACCAACCTAACATTATGGTCAAATACACATCCTTCAAAAGAGGAAACTCCTCAATCCACGCTGTTTCCCTTGACAACGCTGCCAAGTACATACTTGTGGGGAATGACAACGTGGAGATTAGCCTTATGGGTTTGGAGTCTCAGAAAATTATCCAAAAGTACCAGGGTCATGCTTCTGGTGTCTCTTGTGTGAACTTCAACTCTGAAAATGACCAGTTTGTGTCGGGATCGAAAAAATTGCTCATCCATGATATTACCACAGCGGCTGTTCTTCGCAGTCTACAGCCGTGCGACGATGTTCACCCCAGTATGATCACGGACGCGCAGTTCCTTACGCGTGAGCTCTTGGTAACATGTGGCCATGATTCTCGGGTAAGCATCTATGACTTACGGCACAAGTCTAAACACAACCCAACCCAGTATTTTGACGACCCCACCGATAACCTCAATGCCTTGGGTTTCCACTACACTAGCTTTGTCTCAGCCGCGTGTAACGACGGGCATTTGTACACGTACGACTTGCGGAAGGGCTTGGTGCACGACGTTGACTACGGAAATGGCTATGCGCTCTTAGACGTCGAATACCCGTGCTTGCTGTCGCTCCCCAAGACCATGAGGTTTGGCGCCCCAAATGAGACCGCCGTGGTGGTAGAGAATGCTACGCTAAAGTACATCCGTCCGACAGATTCCCTCAATTTGCAGTGCTGGGATGTGACTTCTGCTTCGGTCAAGACGCTGAAAGTTCCCAAGTTTCAGTACCGCACCCCTTGCAAATTCATAGGAGGAAGTGAGTACATTGTATGCGGATCGGACGTGGGTGAATTGAATGTCTACGAAACCAACCCCGATGAGCAGGTATTTTATAGAATGTGCACTCCTCCGACCAAGTTGAAAATCGTGTCCGCCGTGCCGAAAGCATGGATGGCTGATGTCTTGTCCTGTCTTGACTATAAAAGCAACACGTTGGTCAGCGGCGCGGGCGACGGCACATTGCATGTCTGGAAGAACCCTACTCCACTCAGCGAGTAACATCCCAGACTGCACCTCAAAGGAAAGTTAAATGATGGCCCAGAAGTGATTGAGTATAATCAAAACTTTACTAGAAGAACCTAGTATCTATATAATGACACACTGTCCTTACCTTTATTTTCTGTAGTCCTAGAATTAGCGAACATACGTACTTTATCAACATATTCAAGGTCGATACCTTAACATAGGACAAGTAAATTATTTTGGTCTACCTGTGGTATATCCTTACCTCAAAGGTAGGATATCTACGTATAGTATAGTGGTTAATCATATAACATGTATAAGATAAAAAAAGGAAGGATCAACCTCATTATATAAGGTATCGATCCCTACCGTGTGGCCACTGAACACTACCTTTTATTCGAATCATACCAATCCGATAAAGACAGTCTCGGTATCTCCGAGGAAATAGTACGCAATAGTGCCATTCTCTTGCTCACCGTATAATTGCCAAGGTCCTTCATGACCGTCCAGGTGCCAGCCTGCAACGGCAGTCAAGCCGTGTGTTTGCCTTAACCACCACTCCGTATGCCCCCTCAGGCTTCTTATAATATTCACCCTTGTCTTCCTTGTTGTAGACAACGCCGACGTCACTGAACGTTCCTTCATAGTTCGAAACCAAGGGTGGGATAGGCAGGTTCCACCACTCAGCGAACACTCCTGTTTCGGCATCATCAATCGAATCTGCCTCCCTCTTACGAGCGCACCCACGGCAGCCGTTACATTGCAATGCAGTAACGTTAGTAGCCAAAATCAACATAGTAAAACACTTTTCAAGATCAACATTAAAAAATGGATAGAATGATCATTTTCTGGCTGAATCAAAACCTATACATGATGGAAATCTACTCTTATACATATAATTAACTTATTTGCAACACCTTGTATGAGTGCAAGCCACACCTGTGGGTCGAACCCTTATCGCAATCTCCTTGGTCCGCTTACACATGCAGCACCAAGCCAGAAACTGAAACCCAGTGTTAGATGTTTTACGAGCCATTCTTTCCAGGGGAATTATAGCTATACCAGAAGCCGCCCCCTGCCGAGAGCTAGACCTTTTCTCCACACCTCAACTTGAGGATTATGAGTTGCTTTTTAGCAACAGGGCGTAGGGCTATAAGACATGTGTGAGCATCTGGTTATTATCCCTGAAACGACCACTCTATCACATATTGATCATAAGGAATATTACGACTCTAATATAAATTCCATAAGATGTACAGCTCTTGAGGAAGTTGGGTGATGAACTGCGTAGAGTGAAATTGGTGTGAAGTTAGGGAGGACCAGAGTAGCATACTAGTGGATGCTGTTGTAATTATGCGCTAACAAATACGAGAAGGTGTTCGAATGTCAGTATCTTTGTTTAAGCGATGCCAAGACCGACTAAATTGCGCATTTATGAGTTGAAATATCAGTGGTGTCATTTTACGGCTTTACACAGGTTTGTCTTAATTCTACAAAATTTCACATCTCCATCCAATGTTATTCCCTGCAGTTTCAGATAACATATGCATAAGGAGCACCCTGTGGACCCTATTACGGCGTGGCCTGATTTCTAAAAATACGAAAATACTCTGCGCGAATAACCAGGCTAAGTCGCATATCCACATAATTTCTCTAAAGAAAACTTGTTTACTCTCTGCTTTTAATATCCCCACAATGTTCCTCATCGTATAAGCAATACATTTATCTGGCACCAGAGTATCTAACTCTTGGCATACGTCTCATGGAGGTGATTTGAAATGCCTAAGCAACGATTCGTAGTATCAAGGGGTATGCAGCCCAATGCGCCATACTGTGTAGTCGGGATTTAGTACATGGTCTATCGCCTACACGCCCTAGATCACACCATCTGAGCTCCGTCAGCTTTCTTTTTAATAGACACCTTGCATAACACGGAACACACAACGGAGGTAGTGATCGTACAGGATTTTGTTTAATATACCGGGAAGGCACGGCATCTTTTGGTGGTCACTACAACGCATGATGCACCCCCTGCCAATCTCTGATTTACAAGCGCGAGACCATGAGCCAATGACGGTTGTAAAACAAGTCTTCCTAACCTTCCACATGCTTGTTAGTATCTTAGCCAACTTTCTTAGCGACATCAGTAAGTATCAACATAGTACATATATCAACCTGACCCTTCTTGGCCCCGGAGTGACAGTAGCAACTTAGATAGTCTATCTTATCAATACTGTGACTCAGTGATTTGTCGCTTAGCTAATAGTAAATCCGCTCACATATATGTCCCTGACCATATGAGACACCTCTTTCGAGTGTGGCATCCCATCCTTTGATTCATTGCGTCAACTGAAACAACAGAAATGCAGCAATCACCCCGTTCCTCTCCCCCGGCATGCTGTCACATGCCTATGTTCAGATGTCCTATGTGGAGGGTCCATCGCGGTATTAATTGATTAGTTTCTGATACATGTATCGGTACGGCTCCAATGCTTTTCCCCAAAAACACATGTATGTGATTGTTCCGGTAAACGGGTATCTATTAGTTGCTTCCCACGAACGTGAAGGTATATCTCCATGGCCAGGAATTTCTGAAGTATACTCCACTCTTATTCGTAAAGTTCTCAATGTACGTTGTCTGAGTCCTGATTCACTAACCTTCAGGTTTCCGTCTGTCTTGGATACCGTGTATATCATTGTACGTTCCATGACAGGCTCATGAATCCCTTAGTTTGGTTTCTCCGACAAGCGTACACATTTTGTATCTGCAGGTAGTCATGTATATGCAACCGGTCGACTGTGAGATTAGCAATAGAATGAACTTAAGTCTACATCCAAATAATTTACAGACATGAACTAGTGATAACGGGGATAATTTCAACCTGACAACTATCCCATGGAAGTGTGGGTTGGTGTAGGTCACACAGGGAGAGGTCTTACACAGTTGGCTCTAGAAAAAGACTCTAAATAACTTCCATCCCGGCTGCAAGACACTTCATTATTCATTCTAATATCCATCACATCTATAATACAGATTCCGAATTACATTAACCATGACTGATTCAATCGCCTTTGGAACTGACCTCAGTCCCGTTGCTTCTGCCGCTTTGAGCATCGGTGAGGTGGGGAGATCTCTCTCTTCCGACCAGAAATTCACCATCTTGACCAGAACTGGTCACAGTGGGTTGCAAGACCTTGATGATCTTCCACCAGAGGCCGCCTACATGATCACTGAGGTGGAGGAGTTACCAACCTCTGAGGCTATGGAGATTTTGAGGGAGGCCTCCATCTACCACGACGACGATGTGAACTTCCCATTGGGTGCCATGGAGAAGATTCGTGAATTGCTCGATAATCACTCCTCTGTTCCTTCTTGAATCAGCCGAGTCAAACTGGTAATGCACCCAAGGTTAAAGAGATGTTATCCGAAGAAGTTGTCTCCTTTAAAGGTGAAAAGGGTGAATACTTAGAGGAATGGGAGTTGGAGGCTAGATTGGAAGCCGCGTTGATCGCCTTCCACTCTCCTTACCCAGAGGTGAGATCTGTTACGGATCCTTATGACGATCCAACTATTCCCGTGGAAACATTCAGAGCGTACTTGTTTATCTTTGTTTGGACGATGCTTACAACTGGTATCTATGAATTCTTTCGCCACAGACAGTCGGCAATTTCCCTTCCAACCAACGTTGTCCAGATGTTGATGTATCCACTTGGGACGCTCATTGCTTATTTATTGCCAGATTGGGGATTCACCATTAAGGGTCAACGCTATACCATTAATCCTGGTCCATACACCTACAAAGAACAGATGTTTGCTACTATCTGCATTTCTGCTGCCGGCGGTGCTTACGCTTCCTACAGCTTTTTTTCTCTAAAGTTGAATTTGTTTTACGATTTTGAGTGGGTTAGTTTTGGATATCAGGTTTTGTTGATTTTGAGTACTCAATTCATGGGATTTGGGTTTGCCGGTATCTTCCGTAAGATTTGTGTTTACCCTGTTCGTGCCATGTGGCCAACCTTGTTGCCAACCTTGGCATTGAACAGAGCATTGATGAAGGATGAGAAGCGCGAGGTTATCAATGGCTGGAAAATTTCTCGCTTCAACTTTTTCTATATTGCCTTTGGCGGGGTGTTCTTGTATTTCTGGTTGCCTAACTATCTCTTCTCGGCGTTGGCCACCTTCAACTGGATTACCTGGATTGCTCCAAACAACTTCAACTTAGCTGCCATCACGGGTACCTTTTACGGCATGGGTATCAACCCTATCGCTACTTTCGATTGGAATTATATAGATGGTATGTCTCTCCTTGTCGTTCCATGGTACTCCAATGTTAACCAGTATATTGGTATGGTTATTGCAACCTTACTCGTCATCGCAATATACTGGTCAAATCATCTCTGGTCTGGATACCTCCCAATTAATACCAATACGTTGTACACCAATACGGGGGAGCCATTTAGGGTCACTGAGATCTTAACAAATGGTCTCTT